TACACGCGTACAGGGATTTGTTGACATGATCCCATAAAAGATAAATCAATAGGTATGTTATTACAATATCAATAAAATGTTCCATTGATTTGAAAACTATTTTTTAGTTTACTAAGGAAAATGATCACTTGCCTAAATATTAAAAAAGAAAGAAGAAAAAAAGTGTATCTGAATGTGAATTCGAACCTACACCGTTCATATTTCTGGTTACAAGCTATCTGCGTTACACATGAGGTTACATGTACACCGGACATAGACGAAGATGGAAATACAAACTCCTTTAACCCAAGAAACATCTGTCGCAGTTTTGAAAACTTGATCAACCATGGAGGACCACTTTACCGTCATACGATTTGTTTTTGCATATTCAAAAGTTGGTCCTCGGATGGGAAAGTATTAAAAGCATTTTTTTAAGTCGGAGAAGCCCCATCACTTTCATAGATATAGTGAATATGGCTATATTTGCAGTATTATATTAACAATACCGAATATCTTAACAGTTCAAAAATTAATATTCAATTGGTTTTATATCTATTCCATGCATTTTCGCTACTAAAAAATATTTACTCATCAACATTTTTTTCAGTTTTCAAAAATGACGACTTAGGGAAATACGGGCAGTTTTCCGCCATACCTCTTTGTCTGGTTTGACAACCCTAATTTCAACATTAAAGTGAACACGTTAAAATGAGTTTTTTTTCTTCAAATTTAACCCAATAGGCTTCTGTACCAGACATTTTCATTTAAAGTGTGGAACCTTTTTTATCCCCTCCCGCGGGGAGTGGTGGTGGTGTAATGGGTAAGGGGCTGTTTTGTTCCGTGCGTACATATTATCACCCTTTTTCATCGCTCTATTGAATTCATATCTGAACATATGAACTGTACCATTGTATAAAAAAGTTTCCATTCATGGTTCTAATGAATCGTCATAAATAAATAAATTTATTCAGTTTTGGATAATTATTCAATATTTTCTTTTAATATCTAGCATTCAATAATATGTCTGTCATAACAACAAAAATGGTGTCATCTGTTTTTTAATATCCAATTTAGCTTGAAAACTTAATTATGATTTTCAATGCACTGCAAAAGAAGTGCGGGATTATCTATCCTAGTTAATTCCCGAAGTATTTCATGTACTGATATTACCTTTTTTCATTAAAGAGTTCCAAATAGGGCCCCTTCTGTATCAACAAACACATTCTTAGTTAAGTACATTCTCAAATATTTAAGAACACCTTCGTACTTAGCTTAAGAATGGAAAGTTAAGAATTGAGAATTAAGAAGTTTCGAGATTCCGGGGCCAGGTCCCATTGACAGACAGCTCGAAATTCGACTTTGAAATGCGATAACAGGTTGGCATATAGGAAAAAGGAAATAGAAGCATTAAACTGCCTTCTTTAAACGCGCGTTATTCAATTTGTATGCAATCCTGTCAAAATTATAGGACAATAAATTATGAGAAGTCCTTTTTACACAACCGATAAGATTTACTATGTGACGTTTCGATGACTAGTACGATATATACACTGTCACCTTCATCAGACAAATGACCAATGAAGGGTATGCACACAGAGGTGTAAAATGTGTACGAGTTGTCCACAAAATCGATGTCGATTTCGGCTACGCTGGAAACGTATGTACAATAGTTGTTGACCATGTATATGTACCGAAAATGTTATTGGCTGTGTAAAAAGATATTCTCATAATCCAAAATTACCAACCTGAAGAAAACGTTTAGAAATATAGGAAAATAACTTTCCAAAGAAGGCAGTGATTCGAACAAAAAATCCATATTACTTATTTTGCACCAAATTTATATCATTGGGCTACTAATCGTCAAACGTTAAATTGGCAAAGTTTAATTCTAAATTTTAAATCAAATAATGAAACCTAATACAGCTAGACGTTTAACTGGAAATACTCAGTCGAAATATTCCTAAACTCTTGTAAACAATCCAAATATATTTTTGAAAGTACTTACGACTGTAAATAAAGTTAAAAGCCGAACTTACTTTTAAACCATTTAAAACAGGAAATACTTTCCTCAAAAACCATACATAACAGGAAAAGACTTATCCCAAAAATCATTTATAATATGAAAAACGTACACATAAAACCATGAACAGCAAGAAATACGTACCCCAATCGAAAGGCTTTAGGCCCCCACTATCGTCTGAACCCGACGCCATTTTTTCTGTTGGTTATATTGGCCTTACAGCTAGTTTCGTTGGTGACATCTAGAAAAATAAAGTTTAAATTGACACATATTTCTGAGTTTGGGTACGTCAACATGCAAATCGCCTTTATCATTATCATATTTCTGATAACCAAACATACACTATGTTTGCAACATAGTTGATTAGATTGTTCATATAGGATTGAAATTGGATAATTCCACCATTACTGAAAGACCGGACGGGGAAAGGACTATGGGCGTCAAGATACGTTGCTAAGGTAGGGCATATACGCATGCGCATTGGAAAACACAAAGACAGATAGCCCTAATTAACCAATATGATGTTTATAACAGAACTTTGTAAATAAATTAGAGTTGAATTTTTTACTTTTTTTATGAGGCCAAAAATGACCGTTAACGCCCTAAGTCCTTTTACTCTCGTCAATAGCAATGTAATGACCATCTCATCCCCGATACTTGTGGTTTCGCTCAATATCCTTCTCTCCAACCCTCGAATATGACATAAAAAATCGAGGTATCTGTGCACGAGCACCTTGTGGATGACACAAAAACATGTAGACTAGTTTCGCACGATAGTGTAAAGGTAAAAATGACAGGCTTTAAAGTCGAGTGTCGCTCGTAGAGCTTTCAGTTATGCCATTATCTGTTCGAGGAGTGCAAAGAGCGTAGGTGAGCCTAACTAGAACGAGGGTTGAAGAAAATATCTCAAAATAGTCATGGTGAATACAGGGGTGTAATAAAAGAACAAGTAACGTTAAACTATGTCTTTTTAAAACAAAGTCGCACAACTCATAGGGTATCTCGGGGTATTACAAACATTACTATTAGACCCGAAGTGTTATGGGGAGTGTACGCAACATTTATAGTGTTGTGTTGTATTTTCATTTCACCATTTACTGAGATGCACATTTCAAATATTTACAAGGGAATACAACGCTGTTCCGTTCAAACATTTTCCATAGTGCGCTTTATATTAATGTTTATTTATTAATTCTCTTTAAACATTTAAAAATTATGATTTTGTTCACGTAAACATGTAATTACCGTCCTGTAAACAACCTTAACTGAACAGCATTTTTCGAATAGCACCGATTAGTTGTAAATAAATACGAAATACACAATTGAACAATACACAAATAGTTCCATTTGATCTATATTTTATCGTGTAATTGATATACAAGTATGTCAAACGAGCTTTGAGTCTCTTTTAAATTGACAGCAGATCTGTTTTTAAAACACTGGTCTTTTAAATATATTATTTACAAAGAATTTGAAGTTCATTTCGAGTTTGCACAGATAGCTGACCAGTACATAACTGTTGTGTAGCGGTTTAGCTTAGGTCAACGAGGTGTGCTACTGGAAATTAAAAACGGTACTTCGAAATATGGAGAAAACGATTTAAACGATGCTGCTGATGATTGAAATCTTGTCAACCGACTGTGATAACGGTATAACTCATGGTTGGGGCATTCGACATGTGTTATAACTTTCGTCGCTGTAGAACTACTCCCTCGGCCTGAGTGATTTTATCTGCTTCGCCCCATATAAGTGACGCCAGTGTAGAGGACAGCAACTTCCTCTGTTTGATTGAAAATAATCTATCATGTAATCAGATAGAGGACTCACCTCACCGCCTCGATCTAAAAAAGAGGTGTTTTGATTCAACACAGTCAAAGAGACAGTGAGCTGTATAGTTGTTATTTCTGTTACTTTTCAAATCAAAATGATTGATATTTTATTTTATTCAAAAAGTTTAATTTATGTTTACAAAATCTGTTATTATAAATTTTAGATAAACAAGTAAATAAACCATTGATAAATAGTTGAAAACATTGGAGTGGGATTGGGCAGGGGGAACTCTTTCTTTACACAATGCAGTAAAAGGTTAAACACAGTATAACGGAGCAACTGATATTACTACACATTGCTTTTGTTGAAATGTAACAACATTTTGAGTTGTGGGACACAAATACTTCATGGTACACATCTGGTACACTACTGTGTCGGCGACCGTTTGGGGTTATGTGCACTTTACGCTATGTCGCGTAAATCGTAAGCATTGTTAGTTGATATTGGTATCAGATATGGCCTAATAAACCCCCTAAATACTATCATTGTAATGGGATTCTTGTTTTCGTGAAAACATATTACTAGAAATTATACAAAAGAAGTCGCACTTCTGCACAAATATAAAATTGTGATTCAAAAACATCAAAAAATTACTATTCAAAGTAACTGCGACACTTGTCGGTAAATTGTATTTTTTCATTAATATTGAGTAAAATGATTTTTTTTTCTCTCAATACAAGTATTCAAATGAAAAATACTTTCAGTGTTCAAATTTGCTATGAAGGTTTATTTGTAGAAAGCAGGCGTCAATAGTGATGTTATTGACTATATGCACAGATGCATATAAAACAAACCATTGTGTATGCTAGGTTTAATTCGAAAGACCCACTTTATGAGCAATTCAAGTTCCTAAGTAGAGAAAGGTGGGGTGGTGTACCGGTGATATTTCAATGCTAGTTCGAGGACATTACAAGGCACGGATTATACAATTTTCTTCCTTCGTTACTTGTGTTTCTATGTACAAGGCTGCGCTAAACAATAAAACAACGCAAATAGCTTCATGTATTATAGCATTATATACGATAAACCACACATAGCGTTTCCATGTAAATATCATATATGGCCAGGAGTTAAGTTGAAATGAAACATCATACATAACGTAGCAAAGTGTGTTATATACAATGAAATATACATTTTACAATCAGATTCGGTAAACATTGTAATAATACACATAGTTTTGGCAGGGATGTAGGTAACGATGACAAATTAAATACACTTCTATAAGTTCATACAGGGGTTAAATGCTTTACCTGTAGACGAAGATTCGAACTAAGACCTGAGTGCGCACTAAAAACAGTAAAGTATTTCAGATATCAAATACCAATTAACAAATAGTTAGGATTTTCTCTCTCTTTCTCTCCCTATATTTGTACAGCAAACCAATACTTCATTCAAGTACATGGTTTGCGTCGAAACTTTGGAAATGTTACACTTATTCAAAGACGAAACTATTACAAACTTAATAAAACGCATCCCTTCAAATCGGAAGTTCATACTCGATACAGAGGGTGTAATCAAAGGTGCAAAAAGACATAAAACCCATAACAGTACAATCAATGTAAACAAATATAAGACACATAAATATGCGTAAATATGAATGTATAGTAAACAATATCAGAACGACCGCAGTTTAGACAGTGATGTTGTGAATGTATAAGATTTACATTGTCCATAGTGTCAACGTTGTCTTACAAACTTCAGCTAAGACTAAATTCCCCAGTTGCTCAGAGGTAGAGCGTCCGACTAAAAAGACTGGGATCGCTCTTCAGCGAATCCACGATAACAACTAAGGCAACAAGTACTAATTACAGATGTCCACCAAACTGCACCCATAGTCGCAAAGATGCATCAGAAAAGGTTCGCAATGCCATAATACCCTTTCAATATACATACTAAATTTCAGTGAAATCGAACAATTTCTAAATTGCGACCAAACAGAAGTGTCTGTGTGATTGCTATGGCAACAATACCTATGCGATTAAATTCGCAGTCCCCTAATATCCATATATACCAATTTTCATAAAATCGAACAATATATAAATTTCGACCAATTAGAAGCCTCCATGTGGTTGATATAAAACCTATGCGTTTGAATTCACAGTCCCCTAATACTCCTATATACCAATTTTCATCAAAATCAAACAATATATAAATTTCGACCAATCAGAGGAAAAAACGTCGGCCATTTTGTTGAAATGTGAAATCTAAGCTACGGAAGTGATCATTGTCCTATTATACACCTATATACTAAATTTGATCACAATTGGACAATATTAAAATTTCGACCAATCAAAGGACGGAAATGAGGGCAATTTTGTTGAACTGAGAAATCTAACTTTCGGAAGTGATCATTGGCCCATGATTCACATGCATACCAAATTTGATCGAAATCTGACAATATTTAAATTTGGACCAATCAGAGGTCAGGAATCGGCGGCCATTTTGTTTAATCACCAAACAAACACCGCAGTTGTTTTGGTTGTGCCATACTACAACTATAAATCAAATGTCATTAAAATCGGACAATGTCTAAATTTCGACCAATCTGAGGCCACCGTCTAGCTGACCAGTCGGACGACCCATCGAAAAAGGAAAATACTCTTGCGCACCGCCTGTCATACACAAACACTCATGTAAAGTTTCGTTAAATTCCGACTGACGGTTTTCGAGAAACATGTCGGAAACTTCGTCGGCCGAAGAAGTGGAAGAAATAAGAATAATAAAAATAATGACAAGTACTTATTGTAATGGGGGACCATTACAGAAGTCGCCCAAACCCCGCAGTTATTTTAGCAGTGCCAAAATACACCTACTTGTGAAATTTGAGCAACATTTAATTTCGACCAATTAGAGGCCGTGGTGGCCTATGCGGTTTAATTCGTAGTCCACTAATACACCTATAAACCAATTTTCAACAAAAACGAACAATACCTTAATTTTGACCAATAAGAAGCCTCCGTTTGGTTACTATGGCAACAAAACTCAAGCGGTTAAATTCGCAGTCCCCCAATACCACTATATACCAATTTTCATCAAAATCGAACAATATCTAAATTTCGACCAATCATAAGCCTCCGTTTGGTTGATATGTCAATGCAACTCATGCGGTTAAATTCGCAGTCCCCTAATACCCATATATACCTATTTTCATCAAACAATATTTAAATTTTGACCAATTAGAGGCCGAGGCGGCCATCTTGGTTGACCGATCGGACAATAAAAGGCCATTTGCACAACTTCTGACCATGACAAACACTTGTGTCAAGTTTCATTAAGTTCCGTCCAGTGGTTTTTGAGAAATGTGTCGGAACCTTTTATGGCGGAAGAAGAATAATAATAACTAGAATTGCAATGAGCACTGCAGTTGTGTTCTTAGTGCCATTTTGAATCCAAAGTCAATTAATGTTTTGA